TAAATTCGGAAGGGCTACCGTAAGGTTTTAATCTAGTTTTTGGTTATTTCAAGCTCGCGCTAATGTCGGTTTTTGAGAGGGATTTGAAGAGTTTCTTTGAGGTAAGTCACTTGTGATCTATTTTTAATCAATAATATTGTTTCCCTATTGAATTTTCCACCTTAGTTTGTGTTAGTTTTTTAGGTGGTAAGTTTTAGGAGTTTGATGCTAGGGAGTTTGGGGATTTGAGTGACGATTCGGCATCAGAATTTGGTAAATTTGTTATGGTTGGACTCGTGGTTGAATGGGTGTTCGTAATTTTGTAACTTTTATCAGATTTCGAGACGTGTGCCCGGGGGTTGACTTTGGAGTTGACTTTTTGACTTTTGATTAAGAACTTAGTGTTTTTATATCATTGATTACAGCTGCTTAGCATGAGTGTTGTGAGCCGGGGAAAGATTGATGATTGAGTGAGGCCGATGGCCTGTTGTGAGTTATATTTAATGATCGAGATGCACGCCGCATCAAGCTTTATTGATTCATGCCAGGATTTGGGTTATTACAGCGCTTGGGCTAGATCTGCTCCTCAGGAGTCTACACATCCACAGTGAACGCAAATGCTATTGATTCATTTGCATTGGGCTGGATCTTCCCTAGATTTATTTGCATTGGGCAAGATCTGCCCTAGATTATTTACATTGGGTTGGATCTGCCCTGGATTTATTTGCATTTGAGCTGGATCTGCCCTGGGCTGGAACTGCCTTGTACAGTGCTGAGTGATTGAGTGCGATGAGTGAGATTTGAGGTAGTCAGGTTAAGTATTCCGATAGTGTGAATACGCGAGGCTTATATTGCGTTGCATCACATACGATATGCATAACTGACATGTAGATATCGAGGCGTATCATTTCTTATTTCAGTTGTACCTGACATGACTTACCTGTTTGAGCATTAACTGTTAGACTGAAAACATGTTTACATTTTATGTACTGTAGCTCTGTAATTGACTGTACCTGTGAGACTCGTCACTACTTTCAGTCCAAAGTTTAGATTTGTTACTTATTCAGTTGGTTATACTCACGCTACACCCTGCACTTCGTCTGCAGATCTAGGTATTTCTGGGCACGGTGGTTGCTGATTTTCAGAGTTGTTCAGTCATTCAGAGATTTTCGAGGTAGCTGCCATGGCGTCCATAGATCTTGATTCTCCTCCCCTATCCTTCAGTTTTATTGATTCAGTTTCTGCTTTCTTAGATAGAGTATCAGACTTTGTATTTGTATAGACGCTCATGTACTCAGTGACACCACAATTTTTGTGAAATTTCTATATCGCGTTGTGGCGGTTCTTATAAGTTTTTATGAGATCTTTTACTTAATTAAAACCTATTTTAGTATATTTTAGTATTGAAAGTGTTGGAAGTGTTTGAGTTGTCGGCTTGCCTAGTAACATGATAGGCGCCAACACAACAGGTTGAGTTTTGGGTCGTGACACTCTGGCAGTATATATTATCTTTGCTCTTCATTATATTGTTGTTTTTTCTTTGCTGTTCATAAGGTTCTCCTTCGTTGTCTTAATGATACATATATTAAAGGTACTCTATTAAATTATTTTTGGCATATTGTCTTTTTTAATATTAATTACTCCATGTAGTTTTTGTGTCCGATAAAGTTCTCCCATTATTCTCACCGAACATAATCAGTAAAAGATATTCTTAAACGATATCTACTTTTCCTTTTAGTCAGTAATATTATTGATATACTTTCAAAAAATCTTGAAAATTAAGTAAAATATAGCAAAAGGCCATCTCCGTAACAACTAAATTTAACCTTCTCTAACAACTTCATAAAGATGATTGCACTAATCAATACGGGTTATGGTAGAGTGGTAAGTACTTATTCATTCTTAATCAGAAGTCTTGGGTTCGAACCCTGGCTACGGTGTCGCCTTTGTTAGGGAATGCTTTACTCCCAACGTGGGACTTTCCGACATGAATCCGAATTTAGTCGGGTCCAATATGATACCAGACATCGATGAGAAACAAAAAAAATAAAATATTAAACATAACATACACGTGATAACTGTTGAAGTACATAAAACAAAAACTTAGAAAGTCGTGAAATGCGAGGCCACCTAGTTAATGCATTTTTTGTTATTACGAAAAATTTATGATCACATGACTTTGTCTGATACATCCACAACATTTGTTATCTGTGAGCGTACATCTATTATTTCGTCAAGAGTCAAATAGCCAATAGAAAGAATGCACTGTTAATGGAAAAAAACACAACCCATTCAATGATTGTCTTGTGATCCCTTTATTTTACTATGTACTAATCGTTGCAATCTTTTTCGTAATGTCTTGATAGATTCGCTTTGTTCACTTAATTAATGGATGTGTGAATCCGAATAATTCAATTCTTTGTTTATTAGATGATTTTATTTGGTTCGTCTTATAGTTACATATTGTCCTTTTAATTTATTTGAATTATTTATATATATGTTTAACCAGAAAATAGAAAATTCGGGTCAAAGCGTATTTTTTTTAGAAGAACTCGGGTTACTGATAATAAAATTTAAAGTAAATAAGAAGAATTGAGATGACTGATAGCTGAGTAAAAAGAAAGCAAAGTAAATCAGTGTATTCCAATAATATTGTGTGTCTTTACAAGTGTTATATCTCTCCTTTTATAACTATCTCTCAATAATACGTTTCCTTTCCTCTCATAATAGAGCCATTATGAGCAATTAATGACATTTAATATAACGTTATAATTGGTATCGTAACTGTTTCGTGAAGATTTTATGACGTTTTCCATCATTGATGCTCATTAATTGTGGATAATACGTATTTGTACTTTTTTCTATCCAGGTTTATTTCTCTGATGTCTTTTCATAATACCAAGAGGCTCGAGTAACTGTTCCTCCCTGTTTTTTCTTGAATCTCTGCCCGTGCCTATGAAAGCTCGTGCGCCTTCAGCTATCCTTTGCCAAATGTCACTCTTTTATTGATCCACGTGTCTTGGTATATCATCACATAATTAATTCAATATTTTAACTTGATTTTCCCAATACAGATAGTCCCCCCACTTGCCATTTATTCAACAATTGAATATTTGGGAAGTGGATCTCATTGAAGCGGCAATTTTTGCCGCCATTATACCTTCTTTAGAACTGACGCTTTGTATGTCACTTCCATTTAATGCTTGTGACACGTGGCGCCCTTTAATTTGGTCTGCAACCCTTCAACGTCTTTTAGGACTTTTTTGCTGTTGCACCAACCATGAAGTCACAATTTTCATTATGACGCCCCCATCATTACCTTTTTTGTTTGACAGTTGCTTCTGAGTATAAATATAACCTTTGTCTTGTCTTTCTCATAAAAGTTTCTTAACTTTGAATATTCATTCTTCTCTTCTTCCTTGTTAAGCCATGTCTTCTTTAAATCCTGATCCTCGTAAAGTTCTTATTGTAGATGAACTTCCTCTTGCTCCAACTAGGAGCAGGAGAGGAGGTAGGTTACGTAGCTTAGGCTCCATTCGAGGTTTGCCTTCATCTTTACCTAGTTCCACTCCTCCTTCTTCTTCTAGAACCAGGGGGTTCTCTTCCACACAAAGCTTCTTCTAAAAGCAGAGTTTCCAATGAACCAGTTCGTGAACCCTTAGTAGATGAAATTGTCCCCTCTGAACTTTCTTTTTATTCTGATAGGGAATCGATTAGAAATCATGTTTCCTCTATGTCCTCTCTTTATCGTGATGATGTCTATCCTTCTCAAATTACCGAAGGTTTAATCTCTGTCATTCGTAGAGATTGCCATTGGAAATCTGACTTCCCCACCATAATTCCTAATGCAAATCAAAGAATCACATCCTACATGACTGGATTTTCTTTCGTGTATACATATCCTTTTACACTGAATTTTAGACCTCCCATTGATCCTGTTATCATCGAGTTCTATCGTTTTTTTAATGTTTGTCTTGGATAAATTGGCCCCATTGTATGGAGGGTTGTTGCTTGTCTAAGGCATTTGGCTAGCTTGGCTAATTTGCCTTTTACCTTTTTTCATCTGATTCACTTCTACTCCCCTAAGCTATTCCGACATGGGATCTTTACTTTGGTAGCGAGGAGTAAGAGAGTTTTAGTCAGCCCTAAGGATGATAAGGTCCGTGGCTGGTATGCCAAATTTATTGCTGCTCCTATTGTAGGGTTAGTAGGTGAAAAAAATATACCATTCCCTGAAAAGTAAAATTTTGCACGTAAGTTTATTTCTGCAACTTTCTCTTCTTCTTTTTTCACTTGAAGGGGTTTGTTTTTCTCGCGACTGCCTAACTTTCTCTTTTTTTTAGCAACCATGGGAACTGTTAACGAGATTCCCAATTTTCGTGGTTGGGTAGAGAAATTATTGATTGTTGCTCCGATGGAATGTAGATCTTGGAAAAATCTTTCTCACAGGTTTGGTTGGATGGTTAAAACTCATGGTAAATGCTTTACCCCTTTTCTCCTTTTTTTTTGTTCATTCTTCACTTAGAATGTATTTGACCCTTCTTTTTATCAGGGTTTCCTATTCGTGGTGTAAGTGCCGATTCGATCACAACTTCCAGACTTTCTTTTGCAAGGGCTCAGGAGATAATTCTGAGTTCTTCATCGAAAAGGAAAGCTGACAAACCCCAAGATTCTGAAGAGGAAGAGGAACGAGATGAAGGTTCCTTGATTAAAAGGCCGCGTGTTAGAAGGCGCGTTATTTCAGATGATGAAGTTACTCCTCCCCGTCCTGTTCCCGTGACCGAGTCTGTTGAAGCCACCTTAGTGAGCTCAGAAGATGACACTCCTATGGCTGCTTGTGGCTCTGATGAACAACTTTTTTCTCGTGGGTTTGATAGTGAAAGTTTTGATTTTGTGTTTGATGAAGTACCTCTTGCCTCCATTCCCGTGTCTGTTCCCATGGGCCATTCTCTGCCAGTTTTACTGCTATTGCTTCTGCTCCGCCTCAAGCTATTATGACTTCCTCTACAGTCCCCGCAACTAATGTTTCTCGAACCGAAGTTGGTTCTTCAAGTGGAGGTAGAGTGATGAAACAAATTACCATTGAGGTCCCTGCTAAAGGTAATCTTCTAAAGAAGTCTGGTTAAGCTGACGTGTGGTTGAAACCCCTCATCAGTCCAGTTGAAAAATCCAAGCTAGAAAGTCATAGTTCTCTGACTTGGATGAATGATATCGTGCAATCCTCGTTGAAGGTATAAATTTCTTTTCATATTATATATCATTTTTCTTTTACTAAGATTCTTTTGTATTCCTTTTTTTCATTTAGATCAATCTCGTCGGCACGGAGATGATGAAAAGGGTTTCCCAGACAGAACAATTGATGCATGATTACCAGATCGAGGCAGACAACTGGAAAGAGCAATATGACAGTCTCCAGCTTGAAATGGAGGTTTTAGAAGAAAACAAATGTACCTTAGAGCAACAATTGAAGATTGTAACTTCAGAGTTGGCCGTTGAGAAGGCTTCTAACAATCAGGCAGGCAAGGAGAAATTTCCTCGAGTCATCATTTGCTGAACAACTCTCTAAAGCCTCCGAAGAGATCAGAAGCTTGAAGGCCTTGTTGAGCGAAAAAGAAGCTTATGCGGGTGATCTTGTTCAAACACTTACTCAGACCCAAGAAGATCTTCATGTGTCTTATGATAAGGTCAAATTTTTGGAGAGTTCACTTGCCCCTTTGCAATCTTCTTATGATACTGCTTTGGCTGAAAAGGAAGAGTTTAAGAGTGAAATTGACCAAAGG